GCGGATTCGGGCTCCTCTCAGCGAGCGCACTCCAACCCAATCTTCAGAAAAAAAATAAAAAAATTCCTGGGATGTCTTTTGGCTCGTCTGGTTTTGCCAGACGGACCCCCCCCCGTCCGTCTGGCCCGGTCCGTCTGGGCCGGACGTCGGCCTAACCCAGTTTTTTTTCTTATTCATTCTTCTTTTAACTCCCCCTGCACCATGCCTCTCACGTACAAGGCTCGCCGGGTTGTGAAGTTGAGAACGAGCCGCCCACATCCCCGTGTGCCATAACTGCCCACTTGTACGCCGTGAGAAAGAGGCAGAGTAAGGGGGGGTGGGGATAAACATGGGGGAAGAGAAAGGTGGAGAGAAGACAAGCAAAGAATGACGAAGTAAAGGAAAATACACTGTGTGGAATGAAGATGAAGGCAAAGGAGAGGATAAGAAAAGTTTCGAGAATGAGTCTGTCCTTGACGACAGAGAGGGCATGCATTGTAAGGATGAGGTGGATGAACACATGGAACGCCTAGCTGAGCATGCTCAGTATAACAATTGCCACGACGGCTGGCATTGAGCATGCCCACCAGACAGGCCCGACGAATGGCATGTCGATTGCAGACCAAAATGAAGGAAGAACGCTCACCACAAAAGACCATGCTCCATGCTTTCAGAATAGCGCCCATGACCGCAAAATGGAGATATAGTGTCTGGATGTGGATGATGCCTGCAGTCAGGAATGGAGGGCCAGTCCTCTATACACATGGATGCAGAAACCATGCCATTGTAGTGATTGTGACAGAGAAAACCGCGGGTACAGCCGAGTGTAAGTGTTTTGGAGTTGATGCTTAACCACAGCCGGGGTTACGGTGGATTATCACTTACAGTGTAATCACTTAGGGAACTCTGCAGACTGTTGACGGTTCAGCCTCCTGATGAGTCAGTCGGTGAAACAGTCCGACGAAACAGTTTGTCACAGCCCCTCGTTTGTTGTCCTCTTCTCAGCCACCTAATGAGTCGGTGAAACTCTGACAAAACAGTTTGTCACAGACCCTTGCTTGTTGTCCTCTTCTCGCTCTCTGTCTACAGTTTGCCGGGCAGCTCTGTCTGACTATATATACCACGACTTAGCTAGCACCCTGCTACGGTTTTCTCCGGTCAGGTCGAGCGGCAGTGGTCGGGGCCGTCACTCCATGGCCATGCTGTACCTCTAGTGCCAGCGGCGTGTCTGGAGTGTATTTTCTAGCTGTGACAGACCTTTCTTTGTTTCGTGGGTGTTTCGCTTGCTTGGGATGGGGTGTGAACCGAGAGTCTGTAGAGTTTTCCATCTGGTGCGGGTGAGTGATAGTCTGCTTTGATTTTCGTCACAGGTACCTTGAGGGCAGTGGTTGGTGGTCCCCACCACCTCACAGGGTATCAGTTGTCGGGCAGTGGTTGATGCTTAACCACAACCGGGGTTAAGGTGGACTATCACTTACAGTGTAATCATCAGGTTAGGGGATTCTGCAGACTGTTGAGGGTGCAGCCTCCTGATGAGTCGGTGAAACTCCAACGAAAAATCCTGATGAGTCGGTGAAACTCCAACGAAACAGTTTGTCACAGCCTCTCGTTTGTTGTCCTTTTCTCCCTCTCTGCCTACAGCTTACCAGGCAGCTCTGTTTGACGATATTTACATCGTCAAACAGAGTGATAGTCTGCTTCGATTTTTGTCACAGGTACCTTGAGGGCGGTGGTTGGTGCCCATCTCAGGGTATCCATTGTCGGGCAGTCGTTGATGCTTAACCACAACCGGGGTTAAGGTGGATTACCACTCACAGTGTAATCAGCTAGGGGATTCTGCAGACTGTTGAGGGTTCAGCCTCCTGATGAGTTGGTGAAACTCCGACGAAACAGTTTGTCACAACCCCTTGTTTGTTGTCCTCTTCTCCCTCTCTGCCTACAATTTGCCGGGCAGTGCCCAGTAAACCTTAGGCAGAGAGGGAACCGTAGGCAGAGAGGGAGAAGAGGACAACAAACAAGGGGCTGTGACAAACTGCTTCGTCCGAGTTTCACCGACTCATCAGGAGGCTGAACCCTCAACAGTCTGCTGAGGGAGAAGTTTCCTGCAGGCCCCTGTTGTGCCCCTAGGGGTCTTTGAAGTTTTCTGCAGCGGACTGGCTGGGGGAACACAAGGGTGGATGGATCGCATTGGTGGTATGGAATGTAGACGACCTCGGGAAACAGCGACCACAAGACCATATTGTCAGGGGCTACAATTTCAAATTTGGCCTTCAACTACTGGACCAAGATCGACTCGACCTCTTCC